GTCTGGATGTAGCGGGCCAAAAGATGCCAATTATAGTCACCAGGCGTAGACCGACATGCTGGAAGTGTGGCCAGATTGGTCACCTGTCCTCTTCCTGCACAGAGAAGGCCTTTGAGATTCTGCTCCCTGTCGACCCAAATCCCCCTGCAATCGAGTCTGTTGCATACGTCTTACCTGTAATAGGCATGCCAGCGACTGGGACCGGTGTGGTTAGACCCCCAGTTGTGTTTGTCTCTCAGCCCGCATTCCACGAAAAGCCTTTGCCCGCCGCTAGTGCGGCTGCGGGGAAGGAAGAGGGGAAATGGTCAAAGGGAAGCTCCGGGCAGCGAGACCTCGTTCCACTGAAGTCCCCACGGCTAAAGACACACACAGCCCCACTCCCTCTACCAGTACTAAGGGCGACTCTTTGACCACCTACTCGGACAAACTACGTCAACAGCGGCTATAGTACGAGCCCTCTTTCGAGAAAAACGAAAAATTACAAAAATTAAAAGAATCCCTAAAATATCATCCTGGAAAAATTATAAGACAATCCTCATCAGCTCCGTTGTCTCTATCCTCTAAACAGCCCCCTATGACTCCAATCCTAGTTTTGGAAGCAATAATTCTGACCCCTTCCAAATTGACTCCACTGAAAAAAAAATTCCCCTTCTAAATGCCCCTTAAAAACCCCAGTCCGTCCAAAATTCCCAATCCATTCCCTGGTAAAACACCCAGCAATGTAACAGAGAGAGGTTGACGCATATGAATGCACACACGCAAATATAACGTTTATTGATTGAAGATGGAAAACACGATCTTCCGTGAAATTTACAAACTGTGTCAGCGCTATTAATAGGAAAGAATCTAGAACAATGATATATGAAACCTAAGACGGCTGATGGATAAAGAATAAATTTCAAATCGAGTTGGCGAGGACTTGTTTATAAACAAATGCAAAAGGGCAGGAGGCGATGTTTTAATTTGGGTCATTAAAAAAAAATAGACGAAAATAATATTTTTAATAAAAACATATTGAAGTAAATTGGAGTGGGGAGGTAAGATCAGTGTATGTTTACCGCTAGCGAAATCTGATCTAAGCATAAGTTGTATCCGCTGAATTTGGTCATCGAAAAGACAATTGAAATGAACATTGAACTAATTAATTTTATTCACTAAGAGATTTTAAATAGATCTGAATTTAAACTTTGCTTATGGCGACACTCGTGTTAAGCGCGTGAACAACCTGGCTTATAACCTTCGGTTTGCTATATAAACGCGAGTTTTGCTGAGTTGGAGAGACTTGGGCGTTAGCCGGGAGTGACGTTGAGAGAGAGAGTCTGTCGTTGCAGTGAGTCGGTCCAGTGGCGAGTCAGAGATAAGGACTTCAAGAAATATCATAGTCGTTGTAGCAGTCGCATTGAAAAATCGCTGAAACTTAACGTTTGTTACTTACGACAACCAACTGAAAAGCTACACTTTCACGTAGGGCTGGAATTACGAGTCACATATCCTCACAAGTTGATTTGGAACGAGTTAATCACACAGACACCTCTCTCTGTTGGTATAATTGGTAGAGGAGTGGTCCTCTGTTCTTATGTTAATCGATTTTCTATCCTTTCTGTAAACTCTTTCTACTGTTGTTGTTTTCTTCTATAAAAGACATCAATATTTTACCCATTGTTGTTCGGCTTCTGCAGATATTATTTCTTTGTTTGCCACATTCTAATTTTCCTGCTGCCCACCCTCACAGCCGTGCCTACATCCCCAATCGACCGTGAACCTATGGACAACACCCCGCTTACTGGATCTAAAAACTAACACAACGTGGGCAGTAGGCGGAACTTGGCCAGTGACCGGTCGAACAATCTACGGGTACTCATGGAGCGTGCGGCCAGCTACCCCTGAGTTCGGTTCAGACTGAGTGGGCGCCTCAACCCAAAGAGGAAGACGCCGCAGGTTGAGGGGCTGAAGGGACGAGTGGTAGACACCACTAAAAACTGAAACCAAAAGAGGCAAGGTAGCCCTTCATTAGACACTGCAGAACCGATCAAAGAAGAGAAAGTAAAACATAAATTATTTTTTAATAGGGGGGAAGGTGTGTGTAGTGTGGAAAAATCACCAATTCCGTAAAGCAAAAGACCTAAAAATACTTCTAAATTAAAAAAAAAATAATTTGGATATTTTAGATCCAGAAATTTTCCCCATGTGAAAATAATATTGACTGTTATAAGAACGGGACATGGCTCAGAAAACATCTGGGCCATGTTACGGGAAACTAACAGCGCTTTTTATATTTATACGCCGTTAGCTTATTTTGATAATGTAAACGAGAAAAAAAACTAAATCAACTCTGTTCAGGGAGGCTCCAGCTTTTCGTTCACCCCTCCCTGTATAGAGCTCTTAAAATAACTTTTCCCCTGGACATTGGCGGCCTGTCTCCTGTTGGCATCATCAAAAATGAAATGTGTATTGGCTCAATGGGAGAGGCCGTCGGTGTCCTAACCCCGGCCATGCTCTGTCCAGGAGAGCAACCCTAATCGGTTTTCACTATGGCTCTCTGGTTAGCAAGTATAAATGTCCGAAGCCTGGGGTCGGAGTCTCGCAGGGCGAGGCTCTCTCGTGACCTTCAGCGCCTCGGGGTGAATGTTTGTTGCGTACAGGAGACCCGGTTTTCTAATCATGACTATGAGGACATTCTGTCTAGGGGCTTCTCCAGCATGTTTTGATGGTCGTTCGAGAGGTGTCTCTTGGCTGGTGAGCAAGTCTTTGAAGGTTGCGTCTACTCTTGTCTTCGCAGATCCGGCAGGCAGACTTTGCGTGCTGGATGTTACCACAAAGGATAAGGCTCTTCGACTCATTGGGTTTATGCGCCCATTGTCCATTCGGAACGGCCTGCTTTGTTTCGTTAGATTGAGCCGTTTAGAAGACATCTAGTCGGATAGTTTTAGCGGGGAATTGGAATGCCGTCCTTGACCCCGACATAGATCGTATAGCGCCAAATTCAGGTACTAACAACCCAGACGTGAAACCATTTCAGGACTTTATCGACAGGTTTGATCTTGTCGATAAGTACCAGAATGATCACTCTCGAGAGGTAGTTTGAACTTAGGTAAATAGTAGCGGCTCGGCTGCTGGAGTGCTTTCTAGCTACCTCGACCGACTCTTAGTTAGAAGTGTCGATGTAGGACTCTTAGGGTGTCCAAGTTGTCATTATATAGTTTATACGGGTCATAGGCCTGTCCGAGTCCGTGTAAACTTAGATAAGCCTAAGATTAGCTTGCCTGGCTACTGGAAATTAAACTGCTCATTATCTGGTGTGCACGATTTCTGGGACCAGCTGCAACTAATGATACAGAGAGAATTAACGGGGACGGTTGTTGGGAATGCCTGGTGGGATAATTTAAAATCAAAAATTAGTACTAGATACATTAGCGGCGCAAACGGCTTGTGAACAAAAAGTCGATCGGGCAGTTAAATCCCGTGATAGTGGGGAATAGCTTTAGCTAAGACAGAGTTGTCCTCCTTGCTTATCAAAAAAGATCAAGCTCTAGTGGTTAGGGCAAGCTTAAAAAGAATGTCCTCTGAGGCGACGAATATGGCCACTGAAGTGCGCGCAGAGGAGAATCAGTGACATATCGCGTGCGTCACATTGCCGGATACGCGGACCGTGACTACAAATGCGGGCATATGTGTGGCTTTTTGGGATTACTTTTAGGAACTTTTCACCAGGTAGTCCGGTCTGAGTCCTGCTCAATTCGACGCCTATTTAACCGACTTCCCCTGCCTTGAGACAGCTGAAGCGGCTGGGTGCGAGGGTCCCATCATTTAGTCGGAAATCTGGGAAGCGCTGAAACAGGTTGGCCTGGATAAATATCCGGGACTAAATGGTCTTCCCTACGAAGTTTACTTGAGGCAATCGCCCGTTTTTGTTCCTTTGCTGGAACTGATTTAAAACAACTGGATGAAGCAGGGGTCTATACCTCAAAGGTTCACCAGGGGTGTGATCAAGTTGCTGCGTAAGGACAAGAACGGTGAGGATGAGTTAGAAAACTTTCGCCCTTTAACCATGTTAAACCATGTTAAACACAAAATTAAAGATTTTGGCGAAGATCTTATCCAACCGTTTGCAGCTTGTCCTGTCCAGTCTTATTGACTCCGTATAGACTTGTGCTGTAAAGGGCAAGACTTTACCATCGATTCCTGGAGGCTGTTCTTTCAGCTGCCGGATCCGTCTTCTGTATGCGACTCCCGGTGCGCTGGTGGAAGTGAATTGTGTAAGATCGGAGCCTTTCGTATTTTCTCGCTCCTTTCGTCAAGGTTATCCGCTTTCACCTTTGGTTTACGTTCTTGCGTTGGAACCTTTCCTTCGCAAAGACGAATCTGGTCCTGCGTGGAATTTCTCTGCGTGGTGCTATCACCTCGGCCAGGTATCCTGCCTATGCTGACGACGTTTCGGTTCTTGTGTCGAGCAGAGCCGAGATTAACGAAGTCAGCAAAGTTATCAGTGGTTATGAGATGGTGACAGGAGCCAAGATGAACCGCGATAAGTCTGATGGCTTGCGGTTGGGTGCGTGGAAGGGAGTTTCTCTTCCGGGACACAAATTATTTCGAAGGGTTGGCAAGTAAGTGTATTCGTTTCTAACTGATTGCTTCATAGGTCTGTCTTTGCGCCAAATTTGACCAAGAGAGAAACGAGTCTTCGCTACATGCGGAGTAAAGGACTACAGCATCACTACGCCAGAACTCTTTTACGAGTGGGGAATTGTCAGTCTCAAGCCCACATGGTTACTCGCCTTCTACAATGGTTATCAATGTAGTCCTCTTTACTGTTTAAGTCATAGCTAGTTGGAGAGCAGGAATGGACTCATATATTTCTCAAATGTATTTGTAGAAAAGTGAACGCAACTGGGACGAAATTTGAATTCGGCACAGCGATTCCATTTTCTGCGCCGTAAACGACTACGCAACACATGACCAAGTTCCACAACTATATCAAGCTCATCCACCCTGGAACAATGGGGATTACGGCAACATTGAAACACCAGTTCTTGTACGATCCCGGAAGTTAAGCCATGTCAAACCTGGTCAGTATCTAGATGGGTGACTACTTGGGAATACTAGGTGCTGTAAGCTTAGATGTGTGGGTGGTATAATAGATAAAGACTCGGAATTGTTAAGTTCGAGTACATTATATTCGCTTATGCGCAAATACTATTGGGAAAGATATGAATTTACCTCTTTCCCCCAGCTATGGGTTAATTAGTAATCACTAAACCCTTATTATCTTAAAAAATATAATAAAATTGTGTACAAAAACTAATTATCATATAAACGCGTGTATCAGGCAACATCTGAAAACAATTTTGAATCTAATTTTAATGGAGTCGCATCATACGCTAGATTAGCGTATGTACTGCTGACCCTGGCTACGCCGTTGACCAAACTATATATTCATCTACTGTAGTCAAATTATTTTCAAAATTAGGTCTTCAAAGGTCGCATGATACGCGAGTATATACGGTAGGTTTCAGCATTAAATAACCCATAGATGTGTTGATATGCCGCTAAACATAAATAACTAAAATGGGGACGATGGTTAATATTCAACTCTTGCCGACCGATGTTACTGAGTTCCATTTTACTGTTTATCACATGAAAGATTCCTTCAGTCTAACGGACATTGAATTCCTAATAAATGACTTTTACTTTAGGAACGTTTCCTGCCGTAACACATACAACGGTTGAAGAGAATTGACATAGAAATGCCTGGCAGCTTCAGAATTTGATAAAATACTCCCGACAATTACAGAAATAATTCAAAATATACTGTTGTACACTAGTTTATGTGAAAATTCAGCTGTGAAACCGTTGACGAAACCATGTCTGCCACATGGCAAAAATAAAAGAGCACTCTGATGAAATCAATGAGAATATACTACTCCAACTATTCTGGCTTCGTTCATTTGAAGTTTATGTTTTTTTGAAATAGTTTTTTGCTGAATTTCTAAACAAAGTAGTATTAAGGAATTAGAAATGGTTTTGTTTGTTCAAATTAAAGAATTTAAAAATGAAAATGAGTAATCGGGCTGGAATTTGGTAAAAGTCATGACTTCAAATGTGACACGCCAAGAATCTATTGTTGATTATTATTTTAATTTTTGACATTTATTTAATAACAACCGAACAAATAATTTGAAAGCCTATACTTTTGAGATATAATCTACAGTTATGTTACTTATGTAGCGATTATTTTATAAGTATAAAAATGTCACTTTTAGTCTAATACTAATTCAGGGCGTAGAAGGTCATGGCTTTTCAAAATTTCTTTTTCCTTAATATCTATGTATTGTATTGAATGTACGTGAGAAAAATACTAAAGTGCTTTTCTGTTGTTTGTTCCATTGATTTGAATTTCGAATCTTCCTTCTCGTAGACCAATGGCTAACAAAAAAGACGAGAGAATCATCTGTGTTCTATTATTTTACCCATAACTGACAGAAATAGTTAAGTGGTTTCCCGTTGCTTTCTTACGTGCTTGAATTCATAGTTGTCCTCTTCCTACACTGTTTGCCAACAAAGGTTATTTAGTCTATACCCGTCGGGAAGAATTCGAACGGTTTATTTTTCTCTCTTGCATTAGCCCTGCCATGGAAAAGGCAATGTAATTTTGTTAGTGGTTAAATACTACCTGTGTTAATTCCAACTTTATCAGGCGTTTGCTCTGTGACCGTGTTTATAGTTACCAAATTGCATACAACATTGGATGAGAATCAAATTTGGTGTGTTGAGCAACAGATGCTCTAAAAGGCTTCACATTATGAATAGTTTTTTTTTACGTAATTAAGAACCATTAATAAATTTTGACAGAAGATTTCATCTTTTATAGAGAAATCTGAAAAAATGCACTAGGTGTACATTTTAAATGTATTAATAATTAAAATGATATTTATTAAAGATGACTGTTATACGTTTAATGTACGCTCGATAAAGATTGAACTTACGATAACACCTTACCAAGTCAATACGTCAACCACAACACCATTTCGAGAAAGTAAGCGTATAAATTGTTTCTTAAAATATCAAAATAAAGTCAATACAAATAAAACTTAAACAATTTTAGCAAACCATAAAGAAAGAAACTTCATAGAAAACTGACAGAAAATAATACAAGTAAAATGTATAAAGATAAGTAATTTTGCTGCTTCAGCCAATCAAGATTGAACAAAACTATGAAAGTGATATATGATATTCATATATGATTCTATATTCTATTTCCATACTGATATATTTTCCAGTGTCTGGTGATAAAAAGAATATGACAACAATCAGATCATTTTATATCTGCATAATGATAAGCGATTATAGATTAATGGTTAGTACCCGAGGCAACTTATGAAATTGTAAGTACCTGAGGCAATATAAAAAAAAAAGAAAGACGACAGGTTTGAATGTTGCAAATGCAGTTTATATTAAATTAAAAATATTACGAAAAAATATTAAATCTTTAATTTCGGATGTTATATGATCTTAGCTTTCTTTTTAATTCAATAACTGAAATCATTAATTTTAAAAAATATACATTGTTTTTAAAGGACAATTTAAATTTAGAATTTAATGTAGGTAAAAATAATCTGCCTGAAACTGAAAGTGATGAATAAGATTTTATCTTCGATTCAGATATGTCTCATATCCTGAAGCCATGTGATGCATTCTCGAGGAAATCTGATTTACCATTCCTTTGTTTTACTTTTAAATTTATTTTACTCTTTCTTTTAGATTAAAATTCATTGTTGAGCCTAAAGTATTTGATTATCCTTTGGGCGTAAATAATTATCCATTTAACAGATAATGAAACACTTCGACAACAGTACTGCGACAAATTCACAATTATTGATACTTTATATTTGACAGTAAACATGGAATTTCGCGCAAACAAATAATGAGAAAAAAAAACATTCGAGACAAGAATTCTGCTTTTAGATAAAAAGAACTCAACTTTCAAAATTAAGATAAATTAAAATTAAAAATAGAGAATTCTTTCGGCAAAGGCTTAACGCAAATCAGACTTTCATTTCTCCAGCAATTTATTTATTTATGGGCCACTCATAATTCTCTCTTTCCTTTTCAGTCACTTTATTATTTTACTAACATTCAAAATTACAGCAAGCAATAAGCAGACGTATGCTTTATTCCGTTATAGATAATTAAATTACAAATGGCGACAATGGAAGGAAATATTAAATTGGCGAATCGATCCAAAAAAAGAAAAGCTAATTTTAACAGAGTTAAATATCCGTCAAAAGATTCTTTCATTTGTATAAATGTGGAAATAGGTGCTTATATTTGTTGATATTTGTTATTATACAGATTTGCTTTTGTCGAATATCACAAATGCAAATTTAACAAATCTCTCACTAAATATATCTCTCAAACATCAGCGTTTTTATATCTGCATGGCATTATATATCAACTGAGAGTTCATGTTTTACATTTTTCAAACGTTATATGAATTTTACATTATAGGCAAATATTTCTAAATTATAATACAATTGCTATTATTAACATGCAATTTGCACATTTCATTAGAGGCGAATGCCGAAAACGGACGAGGGTTTATTTTTAACATTCTTTTCTTGCAGAGAAGGCAGAGTTACAGATATGTAAAAGAGAAAATCATCCGGTTAGTTCTGTATACTGAAGAGAAGTCAGGTTGACGGCTCGATAACCAGAGAGGGGTAATTAAATTCAGTCCAGGTATAAGATTTTAGAAACCGAATTTAAAACAAACATATGCGAGATGGTTGTTGTGCATTTTATAAGTACATGACTAATATTAGTGTATATCAAAGGTATATTCATTTTTTAAACTAGTGTATTTTGTTTTAATTTTATGAATATACTCTACATATGTTTCGACAGTACTAAAACGTCTGAAAATCTTCGGTTCATAATGATTGGCATCTTTTCTTGCGTTTTAAACTAACATCATGGATTATTAATGGCTGTCAAATTCTGAGCTTTAACATACTTAAAAGAGTTTTGGAAAGTGGGAGTAGATATTATTTTATTTCTTACCATTTCACGAATTTTGCATATAGCTTTAAGGCCCAATTTAAAATAATACTTCGCAATTATAAAAATCTCATCATTTATATCCACCATTATGATATTTAAAGCAAAAACTACAGTTCAATAATAATAATAATAACAATAATAATTGTTGAAAAACCTCGCTGTTAATGGTGAACATGATATCAAGGTCAAAGGAATTGACAAGCTTCAGAAGTATGACACATCTATTTAGCCTTGTCTTGATACTCTGATCAGTTCGATAAGGTCAAATTAAGGGATGATATAAACAACGACCTACTGTTTGTTGTTAACCGGGTCAAAGAATGGCTTGTTAATTTTAATGCCTCTAAAACTAAATTGTTCTCTTTTAATCATTTGAGTGACCCTTTTTCTGCCTGCATGGCTGATGCTAACCTCCAGAAAAGTGATTCGATGTGCCTTTTCGGATTAACATTCTCGGCTGACATGAAGTGAGAAACACTGGGTCAGTTGCTAAGAAAGTTGGTTAACTGTGTCGTGATAGACAATTTTCTCTCTGGAATCTATTTTGCATATCTATGTCTACCATTCACTTATGCTTAGAATATTGCTGCTACATATAACACGGTGCTCCTGCTATTTATTTTAAAATTCTTGATAAAATCCGAAAGAGAATCAGCAATATTATTGGTCATGACCTGGCGTCTCGACTTTAGTCACTTTCCCGCCGCTGTAAAGTTGCTTCCCTGTGCCTTTTCTATAAATGGTTCGGATGAGCTCTTCGCTATGGTACCTAGACTTTTGTAATTTAAGCGCGGTACTATATTGAAACAAAAGGTCTCATCATTTTACAGTTAAATCGGCTAGATGTAACGTTAAGTTCTATATATATATATATATATATATATATATATATATATATATATATATATATATATATATATATATATATATATATGTGTGTGTGTGTACGAATATAATTACTTATATTTATAAGATTATTTATATATATATATATATATATATATATATATATATATATATATATATATATACATACAAATATTTACAAACTGTGGG